CCCGCCCCGCCGGCGCCCAGGCCTCTGCTGTACCGTGTACACGTTGGCCACCTTCTCCACGGGAGGCTCCCCGTACATGACCACCGCCTTCAGGTGGGGCAGGTTTTCCCAGATCTGTGTGACAGAGACAGGGAGCTCCACTGAGAACAGAAAGGCCACCTCCTGGGACGAGCCCGTCGCTGGGGGCCCGTCTGCTGGCAGAGGCTTTGTGGGAAAGGTCACTGGGCTCCCCAGTCAGCCTCTGACCCAGCAGGACCCGGCCTCCCGGCTGCTTTCCCTTCGGAAGGCCATGAGTGAGCTGGGCAGGCGGGGTGGGGAGGACTCTCCCGGGAGGACCGTGTGCCCCCACAGCGAGGCGGAGAGGGAGCCGGAGAGAAACACAGCGCAGGTGCCTCCCGGACTCGGGTGACGGAGCCGAGCGGGGAAAGCCGGGTGGACAGGAGACAACAGGGATGCAGGTGGCAACATGTAACCCCGTCAGCCTTCCTGACATCATTAACATGACGTGCATTCCAGCCCCCAGCGCCCACAGCGCCCGCAGCGGCAGAACGCGTTCTTTCAGACACGCACGGGCCGTTCCCCGGGGCACAGCCTGGCCTCCCAGACCCTCGGCACTGCGGGTCCCAGACCACCGCGGCCAAGCCAGCCGCCGTCTTTGTGCTGTGGAGGGTCTTGCCTTCAATTTGTAAAAAACACAACCGTGGCCGTCCCGCGTGGCTCAGTGATTGAGCACCGACCTATGACCCAGGAGGTCAGGGTTCGAATCCCGGTCAGGGCACAGGCCCGGGTTGCGGCCTCGATCCTCAATGTGGGGCGTGCAGGAGGCAGCCGATCCGTGATCCTCTCTCATCACTGATGTATCTCTCTCTCTCTCCCTTTCCTCTCTGAAATCAGTAAAAACATCTTAAAAAAACAAAAACACCACCTGGGTGAGGCTCGATCAGACAGACTATTCCTGAACACCATGCTGCTGGCAGCCACACCCACCTGCTCTGCACCCAGGGCTGTTTCAGGAGGCACAGGGCCCCGTGAGGACAGAAAAGAAGGTGAAGAAGAGTCCTGGCTGAGGATTTCACGCCGTTGCTCATGAAATGATTAATTCGGGCAAAGGTCGTGAGCGGAGTCAGGTTGGCTGGGACGTCGCGTGGCATGGCCACCTGGACGCCCGGGGAATTGCAGCCTCTCCACAGCGTCTCACCTGCCCTCACCTGCCCGGCGAGGTGGTGCAAGGTGAGGTTAACAGCACCACCTACAGGGAGCTCCTGCCCACAAGGTCTGTCCTGAAATGCAGGGCCCACGTGATCTCGAGGGAACAGCTGGCAGAGCACTGAGGTGTGGGAGGCTGGTGACCCGGATTCTGGAGGCTCTCACCCACGAGCCCGATCAGCGTCACCGGGGGCGTGCCGAGCCGAACGCGGCCTGGGGGGCCCACACCCTGAGTTTCTGAGGCCGTGGGTCTGGGATGGGGCCTGAGGACCCACATTTCTTTTTATTGATTTCAGAGAAAAAGAAGAGGGAGAGAGAGAGAGAGAGAAACATCCATGATGAGAATCACAGATCGGCTGCCTCCTGCACGCCCCCAACTGGGGATCAAGCCCACAACCCGGGCATGTGCCCTGACAGGGAATGGAACCGGGGACCCTTCAGTCCGAAGGCCGGTGCTCTACCCACCGAGCCACACTGGCCAGGGCCAGGGACCCACATTTCTAACCAGCGCCCAGGCGATGCCAAGGCTGCTGGTCGGGGCCACACGGGCCTGTGGCTTGAGGGACAGAGGTGGGGCTGTGATTTGAACTCAGACACTGAGAGACACTGGGGTGGGTTCAGGTCCTGACTCCCAGGCCGACTGTGAGAGACACCGGGTGTCACACGTGGAAGAGCGGTCTTACTAGTGTTGGACGTGACACAGTTACTGTGATTATTCAAGAAAAGTGTCCCTTTTTCGAGACGCATGCTGGCATTTTCAGGGACGGAAAGGGCGCTGTCAGAGATCTGCCTGCAAATATTTCGGCGCGAAGAGTGCGCCGGTGAGAGGGGCGTGACGCGGTCCCGCCTGGCTGTTCACCGGGCGATCGGCACCCCCGAGCCCACTGTCCGCCTCTGTGTTCCTCTGGAAACTTTCGTAACAACTTTAATCCAGGTGATTACTAGGCGCGACATTTCCTAATTCTGGGCCTCAGCTTCCGTCGCCAATGGGCCTGGGAGGGGGCACGTGGATTAGATCTACATCTGCGAGGGGGTGTTGTCTCCCCGAGGGAAGGAACATACCTCCGGGGGGGCCTGAAGCTCTTATAGTGCCCACCCCCGGATCGGAGGGGAGCACATGTGAGGAAGCCACCCCCCTCCCCCCAAGGAAGCCAGGCCCCATGAGCTCGGGGTGCCTGGTAGGTCAGGCACCTGCCACCACCCTCTGACTCTGTCCCTCATCCGTGTCGTGAGGGGCCTGGGGCTTCGGGGGAGGGGGGCCCCGAGCGCAGTTCATTCTGGGCCGAATCGTCCACACCCCAGTCTCCTCGCCCAATCCCCAGCACTGATCCAAGCCAGACAGATCGACACGCAGAACAGAGGTCCTGAAACACAGGGTCCCCAGGGGCAGTGAGGGGCCAGGCCCCCAAGCGGGAAGGCAGCCCCCTCGCTGGGTCAGGGAGCCATCTGATCAAAACCAAACCCCAGGTCCCTGTGCCTGTGAGAGAGGGTCTCAGCTCATCGCCGCACGCACCGAGGGGAGCACCACAGA